CTTAAAGGAAGAAAGATGCGCTATTAAATGTCTAATTTGATGAAAAACACACTTAAAAGGTCAATCGAGGGGAAATAAAATTATTATTAGAAGAAATCGAAAACATTCAGACACTAAGGAGTAGTTCTCTTCGTGTTTGAGTTTTGAATTCATTTTGAATTTTGTGTTTTGAGTGTGTTTTGAAATTGTTGAAAACATGTTCTTTTCGTCATTTTGAAAAAATATTTTTTAAAACATGAAAATTAAAAACGTGTTCTTTTCGGGAAATCAAAATGGTCATTTTCTCTTCTCCAGCCACCATGAGTTGTCGTCTTCAACCTCATAAACCGACCACCACCCAACTTCCGGCCACCGTCGCCACTGAATTTTTGCACCAACACCATCTCCTCATCAATCCCCACCAACCCTACACAAACAACAACCCCAAATGACAGCAAAATCAAGTCAAGTATCGTCCAAAAACAGCCACTCACGCATGATTTTCTACCAAATTCGATCAACCCAGTTGCTGCCCATGTTAATCACACCCCACAACTCGATTAAGCTCAGCAAGGAGCGTCCATACATGGTATTATAACAACAAACAACACAGAAATTCGAAATCTACAGCAGAAATTCAACACAACGAACTCGCGGCCGACAACGGATTTTCCGACGACATTGGTAATAACCCATGGGTTTGTTGGGTGCGCCATGATGAGGAGGTGCTAGGGGTGGTGGTCCGTGATGCGTTGCCGGAGCTGAAAATCGCAGTTGCAGGGGTCCAACCACTTCCAAGAGAGAGAGACGGGCAGAGACTGGATTTTTTCAAAAATGGGAGCGTTTTTCGTGTTTTCAAAATTTTCAAATTTTACACTGAAAACATCCAAAACGATAAAATCATCATTTTGTGTTTTTAGTACATTTTTTTTTTTTTTTGAAAAACTCGTTTTCAAAAACGGGAAAGAGAACGCATTTTCACGTTTTGAAAAACTGAAAATAGAAAACGGTCCGAAATAACAAAGAGAACGCTACCTAATTCTTCATTTTGACTCGAGTTCAGCTAGCAGTCAAAAAATCCATTTCTAAATAATATGATCATGACAGTTGAGAGCATCAATGGATGCTAGATAGATTTTCCTAATATTCCTATAAGTGAAAAAACGTTTAAGAAAGATACCCACAAAATATTTATAGTAACAGAAGTTGTTCACTAGACTTTCTGTGACTTCTCATGCCATGTATCTGCTATAATATAAACTGAAAACAATAGAAATGCCAAGAATGCACTGCAAAATCACAGGGTACTAATTATGTAACTATTAAACGCCATCGTATTAGTATAGTGCTTTATATTCACATTTCAACTAAATAATGATTGCATTCTCAAGAACTTTGCTAAAACTATACATAAGCTCGGATTTTGATTTCGAGGCTAATTACTGAAATGAATTCATGAAAAAAGTTGCACGATCCATATTATTCAGCACTTAAGTTACGGAATTCAAATAACGAATCCTTGGTTTGAATCAAAGCCAAGTTATTACATCTCATGTTATCAAATTACAGGCAACTAACTATAATACTTACTCATATTTTGCCAGCAAAACTGCTCGGTGATAAGCTACCGTGACATTAAATTTTGGAAAATAAGCTCCGCTCCAGGCCCCCTTTCTCTTCCACTTCTTGGCACCAGCATCAGCTACTCTAAGTACACACAAAAAAGACACCAAAAAATTCTCATTCAAAGAGTCCCCCACAAACCCAATATTCCCGTTCCTCATCAAACCCAAGAATCTAACCGGGTCGACCCGGTTCAAATCACACTGTTCTGGAACCCATTTCCAAGAATTGATCCGACTCATGTTTTTTCTCTGGTTCTTAATGCAATTCCAAGAGTTTCTATGAAATGGGCAGGTCGAATTGTACATGGTTTTGTGATTGGGGTCAAAAACCCAATGCCATTTCAAGAGATTGCATTTTGGTGGGGGCTAAAATCTGATTCTTGGAGTTGGAAGAATGTGATCTTGGGGCGGTATAGAGAGTAAGGAGCATAGAATAAAGGAAAATCAGAAGACAAGAAGGTAGGATTAAAAATGAAATAAGTGTTGGGGTTAGCTTTGATGCCATTAGCATTCATTCATATCGCGGATCATATTACTCAATATGAATTGCCATTAGCATTCATGTATAATCTTGGGAGTGTTTGAGCAAGTTATACTTTTGGGATCATTTGAGGAGGAAATAAGCGAAAATGGACTTTGGACTTTATCAAATTTTAATATTGGCCTTTGACCCATTAAATAAATTAAAAAAAAAAGAAATTAAGTTTAAAAAAAACTTTACACTAAAAGGGCGAATTTACCGTTCAAATTGTGACTGTTTGAACATTAATTTTCTAATCGATCGATCAAAAAAGAAAATTGACGCATAGTCGCCTGAAAATTGTCTAATCAACCACCGGCCAACTACACCACCGTCATAGTGAGTTAAATCGACGACCACGCATCTACACCGGAAAGAATACCGATTAGTTTTCTCGCACAGTCATGTTCCAGCTGAAAATTTATTGAATAATATTAGATTTAATTAGATGAATATTCGGTTTAATTAGATCATGAGCATGAGTAGTGTTAGATTGTGGGCATGCTGAAATGAAAAATGTGATATTTTTTGTAATTTTTGGACCAATGGTGTCGGCAATTGCGATTTTCGGCCAGAATCGCAAAAGACGGTGCTGACCGACTGTCCGACTGTTAACAGCCGGTCCAGACTATTAACAGTCATGGGCCGACTGTTAACCGTCGGCCCACAACTGGAAATTTTTTTTTAAAATATATTTAATTTTTATTTGTTTTTTTATAATTTTTGTAATTAATTTAATTTTTTATTTGATTAGTAATTATGTTATTTATTTATTTAATTTTTCTAATTGTCTTTTATTTATATAATTTAATAATTGAATATTATCTTTAATTAACAATTTTGTATTGTTCCTTTTTTTTATGAAATAATCTTTAATTTTTTTCAAATTTATTTAAATAATATAAATATTCTTTACATTTTTTAAAAATGTATTTAATTTGAAATTTTTTGTTTGTAAATATATTTTTCAAATGATTACAAGATTAATTTTCTTTATAATTAATTTATTTTAATTTGATTAAATAATAATTATGTTATTTATTTATTTAATTTTTATAATTTCTTTTTTTATATATAATTTAATAATTGAATAGATAATGTTGTCCAAAATTAACAATTCTTTTTTTCCTTTTATTGTTCTTTTACCTTTGATTTTGTTTCGAATTTATTTAAATAATATTTATATTCTTTAATTTTTTTGAAAATGTATTTAATTTGATTTTTTTAAAATATATTTTTCAAATATAATATTTGTGATTAATTTTCTTTATAACTAATTTATTTTAATGCGTATTGTATGATAGTTAGAATTCGGTTCCCTTGATTTTGTGAGATTATGCTTTCTTTTGTTATCTGTTGTTCAATGCTCTAATATTTAAATTTTTGTAGGAAGGAGTATCATTTAGATGGGGAGTTGAGATGGATGGCGGGGAAGACTACTTGGAACAGTAGTTTTGAGAGTTTTACTGCTGTGTTGGAGCTGCTCGATGATCAGCACAGATATATGCTACGACAGTCCTTCTTATGGCCACTGTACTAGTTGCGAGAAGTGCAGTACTCAGGACAGATCATCGATGTACTTCTATGTCGGCTTCTGAGGCCAGTCGACGGCGATTCTCCCCAGTTCGACCTCGAGGGCAAGGTCATCAGTTTCTCGACGTTTGAGGTTACATTGATCACTGAACTGAGAATTACGGGCGACGATACAACCATTGAGAGAAGCAATAGGCTGTACGAGACGTACTTCCAGGGACATGGGTCGGTGCTTCTACCCGACTTGATGGCCACGATCAGGGGGTGCGACCAGATACTAGATAGATTGAAGCTTGGGCTGGTCTACATCCTCGAGAGTGTGATGAGGTGTCATCACAAGAAGACTTCCATCGACATTTTTCATTTGCAAGTTGTTGACGACATCGATGCGATGAACAACTATCCATGGGGCCGGAGATGCTACGAAGACACTGTACATGTCTTCACCTGAGCACACTCGAGGCTCAGGGGGTCGATGCGTAAATACGATACATATGGATTGCCCTTAGCGGTGCAGGTAAATGTTTAATATAATGAAAGTTAAAGTTTTAGTATATTACATTTGTACATAATAAGTGTATGTGTTACAGATTTGGGTGTATGAGACAGTCCTTGTACTGGGGGCCCACTTTGCGCAGCGAGGGGAGACACGCTGCCCTTGGATGCATCTTTGGAGATCATCGCGAGTGGAGGGATGTCCCACTGGGAAGCAGTTATCGGCCTTCCTCGACGATCCTCAGGTAAGTATTATGCATTTGTAATTTATATTATACGTAGTTTAAAATTTTGTTTACATGATCGTTAAGTAGTTGAAATGTCAATATGTCAGCTTGAAGTCATACCTGAGTTGACGCCGTCGATGGAAGAGGAGGCTCGGGGTCTTATGCGGGATTTAAGCGTTCCGTACACCCCAGACGAGGAGATGTCTGATCCGAGCTTGGACTGAGATTGGTTATGTGAATGAAATATAATTTATTGAATATCGTTGACGTATAAATTTATTGAATAATTTGTAATGTTATTTATGTAGGAGAGCGGTTCAGCTGATCCACGATCACCTCCGCCGAGTGTATCGTCGCCCCGATACCTAGTCTTCAAATTACCTTGTATATGGCACATGCAATACCCGTGATATGCCTCGAAAAAAACTTCAGCGATACCGATCATTATAGACTGTCCCCGATCGGTTACAAAGGCAAGGTCTTCGACTTCCTCGATCACTTCCTTCAATTTAGAAAAGAACCAACGCATGGATAGATCATTCTCGCTGTCGACTATGCTGATTGCAATAGGGTAAATTTGGATGTTGGCGTCTTGACATGTAGTAATAATTAATTTGCCTTGATATTTAGCTTTCAGAGTTGTACCATCAACTAGAATTACGGGTCGCATTGCATTTCGAAAACCCCGAATACATTGTCCGAGAGCCATGAAGAAATACTTAAAACAATTATCGCCCCCCGTCTCAATAAAAAATGACGTGCCAGGATTAGTTGTCCCCATGTTATGGCAATACCTAGCCAATTTAGCATAGCTCTCTTCAGCCGATCCCATTAAATCCTCCAACGGGCACATTCTTTGGCCTTTCAGGCTTTCTGGTAGATCATGACCACTCCATACTCTCGACGGATGTCATTAATGATATCCGAAGGTCTGTAGATCGTCCATGGATCCTGATACTTGTGCATTATCTGTCGACCAATAAACCATGCTCGAGCTTGCCTGTGATCGTTTCAAAGAATTCCCACTTCGCAAGTATGTTCCCGTGAATACTTGCGAATTACGAAGCACTCATTATGTCCATCTTATTTTCTCTCAAGCGCCAATTGCAACTGTCTTCGACGCAGGCAACTGTCAACAATAATTTGTTTGATTTCTTTACCTTGATCTCAAAGTTATATTTTAATGCCAGCCGGTGCACAGCTTCGTGCAAATCTTTCTTGGTTTCAAACAGTTACTCGACCTGCAAGTCCTCATCATCGGGAGCCACACGGGAAGAATTGGAGGACGGTCCACTTGTTCCAACCTGTGAGCTCCCACTCGGCTCGTGTCTCTGTTGGGATAAAGTAATCAAATTCTCATTTGTAAACTCGTTTATATTCTCATTGTCTTCAACTGTCGATGAAATTCTGCGCGTAACAGTGGCATCACGATCAGAAGCAACTGTCTCAGGAATAACCACATCATCCGCAGGAACTATCTTCACTGTCTTCCAAAAACCTCGATCATTGTTATCTGCCCTATCTGAATCTTCGCGTTCACCTTCGATAACATCCTTCGTAATTAAAGTCACACCAAGAACAGTCAGAATCAGATGCATTTTATTCAATTCTAATAGATAATTCAATTCAGCATCATTAGTAACGAATACCGATGACATCGGAATGGATGAATTCCTATAACCGTTGAATAGATATCTCAATTGCATATCGTATTGAGATTGATCGACATTCAGTTTATTTTGCAAATCGTGGTACATTTCTAAGTATGGTGTACTCTCTGTTATGGGAATTACAATACAATCACGAATGTCACTCGTCCATCTCCATTCCTACCGATTATTTTCATTCAATTCGAAATCATCGAAATAACAGACGGGGACTATCATATCTGCATGAGGAAATGGATTTAATCAACTTCATTTATTAATTATAAGAAAAAAATCAGTGCCAACAAAAATCAGTGCAGAGTCGGTGTTAATTGGCAGTTAAACAGCCGACTATTGGCTGTTTAATAGCCAAACAGTCGGACTGTTTGGCTGTTAACGGCCAAAACAACCGACTATTTGACTGTTTTTGCGCAGGAAAATACGGTTCTAAAGAAAAATATTATCATCTGTTCATTTTTTTGATAGGTAAGATCTGTTAAAAAAATGCGTAAATGAAATTAAACGTGCGTAAATGTACTTACTTACCGATTTGAAGTAATTGATATGAAAAAAATTTTCGACTTCAACGTTTCAAAGTTTTTCTAGATTTTGAGGTTCAAGCAGATGAAAAGATGAGAGTTTTTTCTGTGTTGGAAGCTCGTTTTGAAGTTTTTATAAGTGAAGAAGTGTTTGGTTTTCAATTATTAACTAAAGAGTAGTATAGTCCTTTCAATAATATATTGTTTTGTAATTGTATAAAACATTTAAGGGCATCTTTGTCTTTTACCATACAAGAGGCCAATGTCATAATATTCATGATTTTGAAAGTCAAAGTGGAATTTAGGTCCTTTGACTGGATCAAACTTAAAAGTACCCCATCATTTGAAGGGTTGATCTTCTAATCAGAGAGTTGGGAATTGGATTCGCGTGGATTCACTGGACCGGTTCACACCGTATATAATTAATTTTTAAGTGGGTATTAAACCAGATGTCAAACTTTTGGTTTTTCATCTACGAAAGTCTCACCTTTTTAAAGTCTTTGCAAGATTGTCAATTTTTGAAATTTTACCCTTCTAGATAATTCAAATTCTCTTCATATCCTTCATTAAGTATAAATTTGACTAGATGAAAAAATAGTGTAAAAAATTTTAAAACATCAAATCTCTCATCTCACTACTCAATTGTTA